CGCGACGACGAAATCGTGGACACTATGCTCGTTGCCTAAGATTGGCTTGCGTGTGTAAGCATGAGAGCAATTTTCTCGACAGTGAGGGCATGCTGTGCGATGGGATTGCACTGTTTTCATGCTTGGGTGATAAGCAACCTACCGCTTCAAAATCCTGAATTATTAAGTTTTGCCGATCCACTGCCTTCAAATGATCTTGAAGCTTGAAATCTTAATTTTGTGTGATAGTAGCTGTTTCTAAAAGTGAAACTCATACTTCATTATGACGCTTTTGATTCAAGTAAGATATAAAGGCTAATGCGATGACGAAGGCGAAGAAGCAGTACTCTGCGTAGCGCGCGTATCTTCACCTTTGTAAAACCTGCGTCGCATGCGCTTTGCGGCTAATAAAGCCGCGTTCGCGCCTAAGGATATTTCGCCTTCGTCATGCAGCAGCCTATACCGTAACGTTTCTTCGATATTCCTTAAGAGATTAACATTTCGAAAAAACTGAAATCTCCTTGAGATATTTTGTAGTGAACTCAGCAAACAAAACCTTGTCACACAATTATCCATACTTGCTGGAAATTTCTTCCAAATCGCCTATCTCACACTGGCGCTGCCACGGGTTCCTAAAGTAAAATCGCGCAGTAATAAGAAGCGATATTTGCTCATTTTGTAAATGTAAGTCGAATCCAGGTCTGAGGAATGACACCTGAATAGCGATGAATGGTAATGTGGTAAGAAGGTTGTTAACGATCCAACGGCATATTTTTGACACTTTGGGATTTTTTTTCTTTGCGCAAGCGAGTTTTTAACAAGCTTTTTGATTTCAGACACTGTACTATGAAGCGCATCCTCACAGTCCAATTCCCGTTCTTTTAAACGACGTATTCTTTGCCACTCATGCTCTCATTGTATGCATCGTAACTGCTGCACAATGTTTTATTTACAAGGTAATGCACGATAATCTGACAGGATTTTACTCATCTATCGAGTTATAGCGTGGAAAACAACGAGTCTCATACACGTGCATGGGCGTGATTGCCATAATGGGCATTGGAGCCTTAATCTCTGGGTTTGCCATGGCTTCCGGTTACTTGAATTTGCTTCAGTTCGTCACTCATTTGTCCTTCATCAAGATGGCTGTCACACTCCTTAAATACATCCCTCAGGTGAGAATTCATTTTGAATTGTCTAGAACTCTTCAATTTTAAATGCTAAAGTTTTCTAATAGCGCATAAAGGACTATCTTACGTTATTTTACGCTTTGCAACCTCAAGACCCGGATGAGAAAGGCTGCATGACCATCAATTTTTGCGATTGAGCTTACAAAATCAAGGACCCAGTTTTATTCGCGACTCCGAAGATCCAAATCTCAAGGCGTACCAAACGGGCAATTCGAACCAGTTTCACTCGAAAGCTATAGTCTGTCATGTTCCAAAAAAAATTCAGCGTTCTTGTCAATGACATTACTTTCAAAGGAAGCCAGGTATCTGTTTTGTAACAGGACGTTTTCTCTTGATCACAGATAACTTAATTTCTGCTCCACGACGAAGTCGGTCGCCCAAATAGATTGAAAGCATGCAAGGCTGCCACGCACGCGGCGCGCGTAGAATTTTCAACTATGGGGAGCGCCCATGCTTGGCCAGTGGTCTTCCGCGAGCACCGGTTGGCACTGCCCGAGCGCCGCATGCGTGTCAACCTTGCATGCTTTCAACCTATTTGGGCGACCGCCTT